GTAGTGTAGACATACCCGAAGAAAGTGAGGTTATGTACCCGATAGTGCCGCCTTTGGCTTTTAGTGTTTCCTATACCTTACACCATCCCCTCTCATCCCTCCCAACTAAAACAAAATACAGGACAATGTAGCACTTTAAAGACTAACAAGATGGTTTATTAGATGATGAGCTTTCGTGGGCCAGACCCACTTCCTCAGATCAAATAGTGGAAGAAAATAGTCACAACCATATACAAAGGATACAATGGTATATATGGTTGTGACTATTTTCTATTTGATCTGAGGAAGTGGGTCTGGCCCACGAAAGCTCATCATCTAATAAACCATCTTGTTAGTCTTTAAAGTGCTACATAGTCCTATATTTTGTTTCAGCTACACCAGACTAACACGGCTACATTTCTATCACTATTCCCTCCCAACTAGTTACTTGACATTGCCTTGGGAAAAGAGTAATGCATTTGTATATTAAATTCCCACCATATCCAGTAACACTTTAACTCTGTCACCTTTTCTTATTGTATAAAGAAATCACATCTGGATGGTTAGAAGCAACAGTGTCTCTGTTCCTTGTTCACATATGTATGTTAGGATATAAGAATATTAAAAATCAAATTGGCAAACAAAACCCAACATTCTATCTCAGGCAAATGTAAATGCATTATCACTAACAGGGTCAGATAAATATTTGGAAGCAGCAGATGAAGAGATGAAAAGTTAGTTTCGTAACCATTAAAATACTAATTATCAATATCACCTGTCAAAATGTACAAAGTAAATAACCTTAAATCAAACTCTAAGGGAACGTCTATACCGCAAGGCTATTTCAGGATACCAGAGGTCCACGCCTCACCCACGTCCCTGGAACACGTCCTCTATTTTGGCATCCCTGTAAGCCTTGTTCCACAAGGAATAAGGGATGTCTCAAAATACTTTTTATTTCAAAATAAAATCAAAATCTTATTTTGATTTTAGAGTGCAGTCTAGATGTAGGTTCTGTAGCAGAATTTTTCTTATTTTCCCTATCTGTAAATTCAATTATTATTGATGGAAATATTGTATTGGCTTGTGTGTATGGAGAAATCAATATTTACTCATATTTACTGATAACATCTATTACTGCCTAGCCTACTTATCCATTTACTTCTCTGCAGCTGTTCTGTCTCCTTCAGTTCCACGTTTGAAAGACTGACATATTCTGATGGCTTTCATCTCTTCAAACTTTCACATGGACAACCCTAGAAATTTGCTTTGCTTCCTATGCTTTCTGCATTCTCTCCTTTTGCCATTGTTATTTACACAGCCATTTTTGCTGGTATCTGATGGCGTATACCACATCAATAGATGTGCAATTGTATGGGCCTCTGATGATGTGGTTTATGTGATGGTGTCGCTTGTATAGACTTGTGGACAGAGTTGGCAAGGGGCTTTGTTGCAGGGATAGGTTCCTAAATAAGTGTATCTGTGATGTGCTGTGTGGCTGCTGGTAAGTATTCACTTCAGGTTAGCGGGCTGTCTGTAGACGACAACTGACTTGTCTCCCAAAGTCTGTGAGAGCGAGGGATCCTGTTTCAGGATACGGGGTAGATAGTCCATGATTGCTGGAAGAGTTTTAGCTGGGGGCTGTAGGCTATAACATATGGTGGCCTGAGGTTTTTTTTTTAATGGGTCTATCCTGGAGTAGGTGACTTCTGGTTACTCATCTGGCTCTGTCAATCTGTGTCTTCTCATCCCCAGGTGGGTATTTTAGTTTTAAGAATGCCTGATAATGATCTTGTGGGTGTTTGTCTGAGAGATTGGAGCAGACACAGTTGTATCTTAGGGACTCGCTATAGACAATGGATCCTGTGATGTGTCCTGGATGGAAACTAGAGGCATGTAGGTAAGATTAATGGTCTGTAGATTTCACGCATAGAGTGGTATTTGTGACCATCCTTTATTTGTACTGTAGTGTCCAGAAAGTGGCTCTCTTGTGTTCATTGATCCAAGCTGAGGTTAATGGTGGGGTGGAAATTGTTGACATCCCAGTGGAATTATTCAAGGACCTCCTTCCTATGGGTACAAATGATGATGATATCATCAATGTAGTGCTAGTAGAGGAAGGGTGCTAGGAAAAGAGAGCTGAGGAAGCATTCTAGGTCAGCCATAAAAATGTTGGCATACCATGAAGCCATGTGGGTACTCGTGATAATGCCACTAATGTGAAGGTATATACTGTCCCCCAAATGTGAAATGCTTGTGGGTGAGAATGAATTCACAAAGCTTAGCCATCGGGAGTGCTGTGGCATCATTGGGAATAGTGTTCCTGACAGCTTGTACATCTGTGGTGGCCAGGAGAGCATTTTCAGGAAGATCAATGATGCTCTGTAGTTTCCTCAGGAAATCAGTGGTTTCTCGAAGACAGGTAGAAGTACTGGTAGCATATGGTCTGAGGAGAGACAGTCCATACAGCTGGACAACACTGCTGTAAGAGTGCCAATGCCTGAGATGATGGGGAATCCAGGATTTCCTAGTTTATGGATCTTGGGTAGCAGAGCTCCTGGTCAGAGCTCGAGGGGGGGCGTCTGTGTAGATTTGGTCCTGTGCTATTGCAGGGAGTTTCTTGAGCAGATGGTGTAGTTTCTTTTGATATTTCTAGGTGGGATCAGAGGATAGTTCCCTGTAAAATGTTCTGTTGGAGAATTGTCTGGCAGCCTCCTGTTCGTAGTTATGATGACTACAGCACCTCCTTTGGCAGCCTCTTTGATTATAATGTCAGAGTTGTTTTTGAGGCTGTAGATGGTGTTGTGTTCCGTACAGCTGAAGTTATGGGACTAGTGATGATGTTCCCAATTTCAGCCTTTGTGAATCTGTGGAAGCACTTTGTGTAGAAGTCCAGATGATCATTTCAACTACCAGGAAGAGTCCACACAGAAAAATTCTTACCGTAGTATTGGTAGACGGAATCGTATGGGTCAGGGCTATGTTCAGTGGTGTGCTGGAAACATTCCTTCAGTCAGAGCTGGTGAAAATAGATCACTGCAGAACTGCATCATGTGTGAGGGTGGCAGGGCAGAAAGAGAGTCCTAGAGATAGGACAGACTCTTCTGCCAGGCTAAGTGTGTGGTTGGATAAATTAACAATGTTCTGAGTTGAATTGAGGCATGTACAGTTTAAATAGTTTATTGTCCTTTTTCTTCTGGAGATAAGTAAGGTATGTGTTGTAAATGGCTTGTCTTGTTTTTGTAAAGTCTAGCCATATAGAAATTTGTGGGGGGGGTTGAGTGTTTCCAGTTTTGAGAGCTCATTCTAGATCTTCTCCTGTTTGCTGTACAGGATGCTGATTATGTGGCTGTGGTGGCCAGGAGAGCATTTTCAGGAAGATCAATGATGCTCTGTAGTTTCCTCAGGAAATCAGTGGTTTCTCGAAGACAGGTAGAAGTACTGGTAGCATATGGTCTGAGGAGAGACAGTCCATACAGCTGGACAACACTGCTGTAAGAGTGCCAATGCCTGAGATGATGGGGAATCCAGGATTTCCTAGTTTATGGATCTTGGGTAGCAGAGCTCCTGGTCAGAGCTCGAGGGGGGGCGTCTGTGTAGATTTGGTCCTGTGCTATTGCAGGGAGTTTCTTGAGCAGATGGTGTAGTTTCTTTTGATATTTCTAGGTGGGATCAGAGGATAGTTCCCTGTAAAATGTTCTGTTGGAGAATTGTCTGGCAGCCTCCTGTTCGTAGTTATGATGACTACAGCACCTCCTTTGGCAGCCTCTTTGATTATAATGTCAGAGTTGTTTTTGAGGCTGTAGATGGTGTTGTGTTCCGTACAGCTGAAGTTATGGGACTAGTGATGATGTTCCCAATTTCAGCCTTTGTGAATCTGTGGAAGCACTTTGTGTAGAAGTCCAGATGATCATTTCAACTACCAGGAAGAGTCCACACAGAAAAATTCTTACCGTAGTATTGGTAGACGGAATCGTATGGGTCAGGGCTATGTTCAGTGGTGTGCTGGAAACATTCCTTCAGTCAGAGCTGGTGAAAATAGATCACTGCAGAACTGCATCATGTGTGAGGGTGGCAGGGCAGAAAGAGAGTCCTAGAGATAGGACAGACTCTTCTGCCAGGCTAAGTGTGTGGTTGGATAAATTAACAATGTTCTGAGTTGAATTGAGGCATGTACAGTTTAAATAGTTTATTGTCCTTTTTCTTCTGGAGATAAGTAAGGTATGTGTTGTAAATGGCTTGTCTTGTTTTTGTAAAGTCTAGCCATATAGAAATTTGTGGGGGGGGTTGAGTGTTTCCAGTTTTGAGAGCTCATTCTAGATCTTCTCCTGTTTGCTGTACAGGATGCTGATTATGTGGCTCCTCAGTTTCTTTGAGAGTATATGGCACAATCTCTTTGAGTAGTATGTTGATTGTAATGGAATTATGCAACAGCTATGATTCTCTTCCTTGCCTGATCAGACCACATCACTAACTACTAAACTCTCCGTTGACTGTCCCAACCTAGTTCTTGAATTTCATCTCTCATCACATCTCTTTTGCTGCTCCCACCGTGACTGGCTCAATAGTGTGTATGTTCTCAGTGGTCTTTGCTGTGGTCATGTTTCCATGCTGGTGGCAGGAGATGACACAAATGTGGCAGGGGATGTAAGATCTTTTATTGGAGCGACATCTGTGGTATGATATTCTGGTTATCTTCTCTAGACACAAGGGAAAGCTCGGTGAAGCCCCAAAACTTGTCTCTTCCACCTACTGAAGTTGATCTAATAAAATATATGACCTCATCCACTTTGCCTCTCACCTGGTCTTCACCAACACTGACAGCCTCAGTGGCCTCAACATTTGTCCCAGAACATAATGTGCACACGTGTGTGAGATCAAGTTTGGCATTGCACCTACTGAGGGCCAGTAGTTCACCCACACACTACCCATGGTATTTAAAAACCATGAAGCAAATATACGACAATTCATACCCAAAACCACCACAATTGATTGTTTAGTCTAAAACTTAAGTTTCTTACCAGGTCCACCTGCCCACTCGGGTGTTGATTTTCAATTTGACACAGAAGTTTAATTGCTTTGTTCTTGGGCTTCATGCTCCAGTATAAAGTCACTTCTGTGGCTTTCATCTGGTCTACCGAAAGGTCAAAGGGAGGAAATGGATAAACTGCCAAAGGGAAAGATAAGTTAGATTCCAAAAAACTTGAATTAAAGCACTTTCAAAATGTCTTCACTGAGCGTAAAAGTCTAGGATTTCCACATTACATCTTTCCCAATGGGATTCCCAGGCAGAGCAACATATATATTAGTAAAAATAAGTGACACTTTTAGATATTGGCTCTTTTTTTGTAGATGTGCTATTTTATTTATAAGGATAAACAATAAAAAAGTAGCCCACACAGGATACTGCTTGACATTGTGGGAAGAATTTGCAATCAGAGACTTTATTTGCAAAGGTAGGGACTATTCCATTCCATTACTGTCCCAAACAGACTGGAATTAGTACCACCTTCAGAGACTACTGCTCTGGAGGGGCTCTGAATCTCAGAAGAAGTTTATTTACCACTCTTCTATATCCTGAATGTGAGCAGGTCCCATAAACTTTCTGTGGCTCACTTTCCGCATCTTAAAAAATGAACCTACCACTGTTCATCTTTCCTTGTTAAAGTACTTTGAGGTCTTCAGATAAGTGCTCTATCAGTAGTATTGGACTAGTTTTTGCCTATGTCTGACCCTTGAATGCTGCTTTTGACACTGCAGAGATAGAAATATTGGATGTAAATTTGGCTTTACTTTATTTGCTAATGTTTTTAAAATCAGCAAAAAAATTTGCAGCCAATATCTGTAGCAAAAGAAAAATGGCAGGACTTGTCTAAAAAGACTAGCTTAAAAGAATGCCCCAAATTAAAAGTTTTATACCATTACAAAGAGAAATCTAGTATTGTGACCAGAAACACCTACAACTCCTAGAACTGAATGCAACTGGAGAAAGCAAATTATTTTCCTGATTTTCAGCATGTTTCCTGTATGTATTTGAGCACTTTGTTTACATTCAATCTTTTTGTTTCACTGATGATAAATTGCTCTTTGTGATACTACTGGCATCCACTGATCAGGAGAGGAATGTTCTGGCTCTCTGTTTACCACTCAAATGTGTCTCAGTTTGAGGGAATCATTCATTCTAGTCCCAAAAATGTGTTATCCCTTTTGTTCTTGAAGATTTACATCAGAAACATGCAATTGTCAGAAAGTTCTGTAAACCAAAGGAATGATTCCACAGAACTTTGTTTCATGTGTGTATGCACTCACACCCTTCCTATGGGCCCTTTGTTGCACATCACACCCTGTATTTGGACTTTTGGCAGATTCTGAGGCCACCAAATAATGGCACTATACGTGAAAAAAATGTAGAATCAAATGAAGTAAAAATCTTTAATGAGCCTAAATGTTCCATAGAATCTCTATGGATAGTAATGCCATGCTCCAATAATAAGAATATAGCAGTAGGGATATATTATTGACCACCTGATCAGGACGGTGACAGTGACTATGAAATGCTAAGGGAGATTAGAGAGGTTATCAAAATAAAAAACTCAATAATAGTGGAGAATTTCAACTATCCCTATATTGACTGGGTACACGTCACCTCAGGACAGGATACAGAGATAAAACTTCTTGATTCTTTCAATGACTGCTTCTTGGAGCAGTTGGTTCTGGAACCCACAAGGGGAGAGGCAATTCTTGATTTAGAACTGAGTGGAGCGCAGGATCTGGTTCAAGAGGTAAATATAACTGGAAGGCTTGGAAATAGTGACTATGATGTAATAAAATTTAACATCCCTGTGGTGGGAAAAACACCTCAGCAACCCAACACTGTGGCATTTAATTTCAGAAAGGGGAACTACACAAAAATGAAGACGTTAGTTAAACAGAAATTCAAAGGTATAGTGACAAAAGTAAATTCTCAGCAAGCTGCATGGAAACTTTTCAAAGACACCATAATAGGGGCCCAACTTAAATGTATACCCCAAATTAAAAAACACATTTAGAAAAACAAAAAAAGTGCCACCATCGCTTAGCAACCAGATAAAAGAAGCAGTGACAGATCTTTTAACAAATGGGAGTCAAATCCTAGTGAGGAAAATAGAAAGGTGCATAAACTTTCTCAAATTAAGTGTACAAATATAATAAAAAAAAGCCAAAAAGGAGTTTGAAGACCAGCTAGCCAAAAATTCAAAAAGTTATAGCAAAATGTTTAAGTACATCAGAAGTAGGAAGCAGCTAAACAACCTATGGGTCCCTTGGATGATCGAGATGCTGGAGGAACACTTAAATATGATAAAGGCATTGTGGAGAATCTAAATGAATTCTTAGCTTCAGTCTTCAGGGCTGAGGATATTGGGGAGATTCCCAACCTCTGCCATTCTTTTTAGGTGACAAATCTGAGGAATTGTCCCAGATTGACGTGTCATTAGAGGAGGTTTTGGAACAAATTGGTAAAATTAACAGTAACAAGTCACCATCAGATGGCATTCACCCAAGAGATCTGAAAGAACTCAAATGGGAAATTTCAGAACTATTAACTGTGGTTTGTAACCTATCCTTTAAATCAGCTTCCGTACTTAATGACTAGAAGATAGCTAATGTAACGCCAATATTTAAAATGGCTCTAGAGGTGATTCTGGCAATTGTAGACTGGTAAGTCTAAAGTCAGTACTGGGCAAATTAGTTGAAACTATAGTAAAGAATAAAATTGTCAAACACATAGAATACAGAAATCATGTTGACTTCCCCCAACAAATTCTGTTAATCTGCTAAAGTTCTTTGAGGGGGTCAACAAACATGTGGACAAGGGGGATTCAGTGGATATAGGGTACTTAAATTTCCAGAAAGCCTTTGACAAGGTCCCTCACCAAAGGCTCTTAAGCAAAGTAAGTTATCATGGATAAGAGGGAAGATCCTTTCATGGATTGACAACTGGTTAAAAGACAGGAAACAAAGGGAAGGAATAAATGGTAATCTTTCTGAGTGGAGAGAGGTAACTAGTGGGGTCCTCCAAGTGTCTGTCCTATTCAACTTATTCATAAATGATCTCAAGAAAGGGGTAAACAGTGAGGGGGCAAAATGTGCAGATGATACCAAACTGTTCAAGATAGTTAAGAACAAAGCAGACTGTGAAGTCCTTCAAAAAGATCTCACCAAACTAAGGGATTGGACAACAAAATGGCAAATGAAATTTAATGTTGATAAATGTGAAGTAATGAACATTGGAAAAAATAATCCCAACTATACGTACAATATGAAGGGGACTAATTTAGCTACAACTACTCGAGAGAGATTTTGGAGTCATTGTGGATAGTTCTTTGAAACATCCGCTCAGTGTGCTGCAGCAGTCAAAAAAGCAAATAGAATGTTAGGAGTAATTAAAAAAGGGATAGAGAATAAGACAGAAAATATCTTATTACCTCTATATAAAACCACGGTAAGCCCACATTTTGAATACTGTATACAGATGTTGTCGCCTCATCTCAAAAAAAGATATATTGGTATTGGAAAAGATTCAGAAAAGAGTAACACAAATGATTAGGGGTTTGGAACAGGTCCCATATGAAGAGAGATTAAAAAGACTTGGACTTTTCAACTTAGAAAAGAGGAAACTAAGGGGGGATTATGATGGAGGTCTATAAAATCATGACTGGTCTAGAAAAAGTGAATAAGAAAAGTTATTTATTTATTCCCACAATATAAGAACTAGTGGTCACCAAGTGAAATTAATAGGTAGCAGATTTAAAACAAACAAAAGAAAGTTTTTTCTTCATGCATCGCACAGTCAATCTGTGGGACTCCTTCCCAGAGGATGTGGTAAAGGCGAGGACTTTAACAGGGTTCAAAAAAGAACTAGATAGATTCATGGAGATTAGGTCCATCAATAGCTATTAGCCAGGATGGGTAGGAATGGGTGTCCCTGGCCTCTGTTTCTCTGGAAGTGGGTGACAGGGGAGGGATCATGTGAGGATTACCTGTTGTGTTCCCTCTTTCTTGGATATCTGTAATCGGCCACTGTCTGCAGAGAGGATACTGGGCTGGATGGACTATTGATCTGACCCAGTATGGCCATTCTTATGTTGTTAAATGGATAGTTTTGATCACTTAGTCTGATGTCCAGGTTGAGTTCTATGTTGGTCAGTAACAGCAGCTGTAAAGCTGAAACTGAAGAGGGAGCAGGCAAGCATAAGGCACAGAGAAGATGGGAACCAGGGAAGGAATAAACCTATTTCTAGCCTTAAATCTGGGGGAGGTGTTCAGACAATACTGCTTCATAGTCAGAGAAATAGGAGGGATGGCCCAGAATGTTTGCTGTTTGGCCTACCCAAAAGACCCTTCCAAACATCAGCACTGAAGCAGATAACCTCTTACCTCTGTGGGCTACATGTAGAACAAAATTAGCACTTCTCTTTCCTAGCAGGTTTTGGGCAGTCAGTGTTAAGTTGTATATCATCTGCTGGTCTATAGCCCATGAGCAATACAGATGTTCTTGATCATGTGCTGCTTCTTGGGAGCAAAATGTTCTTTTGGAAAACCTTTCAAGAGAAAGGAAAAGGACACTGGTTTTTCTTTGGTTTAAAACCACAGATACTGCAGAAGCACAATAATGGAGTCAGAAACTGTGATGACTAGCTAGAAGAGAAAATATAAAAATACAGTTATTGTACACGTATAATCAACAAATGTAACAAACAGTAATTTCTATTATAATATTAAAATAGAACTGTGCTGTAAAAGAGGGTACTTAGGAAATGCTTGGTTTGAAAAGCAAAAAGCTTTCAGAAGTTGCTAAGCAACTGTGGCCTGATCATCTAACAAAGTTGTCTGGGTGATGTAATGTTTCTATCTTGTTACAAGAGCTGACTGTTCTTGCCACTCAGTATTCTGCAGGGGAATTATTGGGGTGAAGAAAGGGATTAATTCCCAATATTCTTATTGTTGACCAAAGAAAACTTCTTTCTTTTGGGAGTTAAATATTTAAATTCTGGCCAATTCAATTCCAAAGTGGCTTCATGCAAGACACAGTTCAGACTGCCCAACAACTGGAAAGGGTGGGCAACATAGTTTGTCTGATATCTTGGCAGGAGGTGCAACACACACACTTAAGTCAGTTCCCCAGTTCGCTGGCTGTCTTCCCCATCTAGAATGGTACCTGGGCTGCGAGTGCTGAGGGGAGAGAAGATCTGGCTTAATGGGGGAGCGTCAGCTACTGATGTGGGAATGCCATAAGTCTGCCTCTACTTTCCCATTCCTCTATTCCCTTTTCTTCCCCATCCCCACTAACTCTTCCCTTCCATCATACCAGGGTTTCTCTCACTAGGCGTTGAGACTCCTCAAGTTGTGCAGAAGTTATTACATGGG